GGAGCTCCTGTTATACTCCGGCCATGAAGAAGAAAATTCCCCACATACACAAGGAGTTGCATCGATGCTATCAAAACAAACACAGAAAGCATATATAGGATGGGAATCGCATAGACCTAGGATCATCAAAGCCTCGTTCAAAACAAAGAAAGAGGGCATTTCAATGAACATCATCCAATGCTATGCGCCTACCAACGACTACAATAAAGACGTTAAAGATCAATTCTACGATAGGCTGCAGTCAATCGTCGAGAAGTGCCCAACAAAGGACTTGACCATTGTGATCGGGGATTTAAATGCCAAGGTTGGAATGGACAACACTGAATATGAAGAAATCATGGGACGACATGGACTGGGAGAAAGAAACGAAAATGGTGAGAGATTTGCATACCTATGTGCCTTCAATAAGCTGGTCATAGGCGGCACCATATTCCCACATAAACGCAAACACAAAACCACATGGACTTCACCGGATCACACTACACAAAACCAAATCGACCATATCTGCATCAACAAAAAGTTCATGTGGACTATGGAGAATGTGAGAACCAAGAGAAGAGCTGATATAGCATCAGATCATCACTTGCTGGTCGCCAAGATGAAATTGAAACTCAAGAAGCACTGGACAATGGGTCGGACAATATCACAAAAGTTCTATACGGCCTTTCTTCAGGATACTAACAAACTCAACAAATTCAAGATAATCCTCAGCAACAAGTTTCAGGCCTTTCATGATCTACTCAATGGAGAAGGAACTACTGTTGAGAGCAACTGGAAGGGGATCAAAGAGGCAATCACTTCAACATGTCATGAGGTTGTGGGCCACAAGAAGCACAATCACATGGTATGGATCACTGTTGATACACTGGATAAGATTCAAGAAAGGAGGACCAAGAAGGCAGCAATCAATACCAGCCGACCAGGAGCAGAGAAAGCCAAGTCACAAGCTGAAAACACAGAAGTAAACAAACAAGTGAAGAGGAGCATCAGGACCGACAAACGTAAATATGTGGAAGATTTAGCAATGACGGCGGAAAACACTGCAAGAGAAGAAAACATGAGAAAAATGTAGGACACAACAAAGAAAGTCGCTGTAAATTACCGTAAACCAGAACGACCAGTGAAAAGCAAGGAAGGCGAAGTAGTCACCAACATTGGAGAGCAACAAAACAGGTGGGTAGAACACTTCAAAGAACTCTTGAATCGACCAGCTCCACTGAACCCACCCAACATCGAAGTAGCACCCGCGGACATCCCAATCAATGTTGGCCCACCAACAATTGAAGAGATCACCATGGCCATCAGACGGATCAACAGCGGCAAAGCAGCAGGACCAGACAACATTCCAGCAGAAGCACTGAAAGCAGACGTAGCAATAACTGCGAAAATACTCCACATTCTCTTCAATAAGATTTGGGATGAGGAACAAGTACCAAAAGACTGGAAAGAAGAACTGCTGAACAAAATACCGAGGAAAGGCGATCTCAGCAAATGTGATAACTACAGGGGCATCACTCTTCTCTCAATATCGTGGAAAGTCTTCAACAGGGTATTGCTAAACAGGATGAAGGACTCCGTAGACGCCCAACTTCGTGACCAACAGGCTGGATTCCGTAAGGATAGATTATTATTATTATTAGAAGCTTTATTCAACATTATATTTTTGGTACAACATAGAATTCTCAGCATAAAGTATTGCAACAAGTTTCCTTTTCTTATTCCTTGATCTATTGTGACGATAAATTTTGAATGATGACCGGTTAGATGTTAGGAGTTCGGTAATCCACATTTGATTAATGTTCATTTGTTTCAATGCATGATGCCAGCCACCATGATGTCGCTGATTGTACCTTTTTGTATCACGTATAGCGAAAGGTTCTAAACTTTTCATAAACGCGCCTGAATAAATTGTGCGCACATAAGACATAATGATGTGCTAAAACAAACAACAAAACAGATAACTTGATGAAATATCTAGATCGGAGTAATAGGTAGCCCAGATATTCAAGCAGGCCGCCTTATGATACTGTACAGACCAAATGGCAACTCTACGGATCATTGTGGAACAATATATTGAATGGAATTCATAACTCTACATCAACTTCATTGACTACGAAAAAGAATTTGATAGCGTAGACAGAACAACACTATGGAAGCTTCTTCGACACTACGGTGTGCCTCAGAATATGGTCAATATCATACAGAGTTCATATGATGGATTACACTGCAAAATTGTGCATAGAGGACAGTTGACAGACTCGTTCGAGGTAAAGACCGGTGTCAGGCAAGGTTGCTTACTCTCACCCTTTCTCTTTCTCCTAGTGATCGACTGGATCATGAAGACGTCAACATCTGAAGAGAAGCACGGGATACAGTGGATAGCTAGGATGCAGTTAGACTATCTAGACTTCGCAGGTGATCTGGCCCTTCTATCGCGAACGCAACAACAAATGCAGGAGAAGACGACCATTGTAGCAGCAGCCTCAGCAGCAGTAGGTCTCAATATACACAAAGGGAAAAGCAAGATTCTCCGATACAACACAGCATGCAACAATCTAGTCACAATTGACAGAGAAGATTTAGGAGATGTAAAAACCTTCAATTATCTGGACAGCATCATTGATGAACAGGGTGGATCTGATGCAGATGTGAAGGCGCGGATCGGCAAAGCAAGAGTAGCATATTTAAAACTGAGGAACATCTGGAACTCAAAGCAACTGGCAACCAACGCCAAGGTCAGAATTTTCAATACAAATGTCAAGACAGTTTTACTGTATGTGGTGGAAACTTGGCGAACTACGAAAGCCATCATCCAGAAAATACAGGTGTTTATTAACAGTTGTCTACGCAAAATACTTTGGATCCATTGGCCGGACACTATTAGCAACAACGTACTGTGGGAGAGAACAAACCAGATCCCAGCGGAGGAAGAAATCATGAAGAAGCGCTGGAAATGGATAGGACACACATTGAGGAGAGCACCCAACTGCGTCACAAGACAAGCCCTCACATGGAATCCTCAAAGACAAAGAAAAAGATGAAGACCAAAAACAGGTTATTCCGGGAAATGGAGATAGACATGGGAAAATGAACAAGAATTGGATGGAACTAGAAAAGAAGGCCCAGGACAGAGTTGTTTGGAAAATGCTGGTCGGCGGCCTATGCTCCATTGGGAGTAACATTCATAAGTAAGTAAGTAAATGAGATAAGTGATGCAAAAAATAGCCACGTCTGCAAGACTGAACCATGCCATCCGATTCACTGAATTGAAAGGATGTTTCCACATTCCCAATAGCTGGCCTTGTCTCAGTTTTAAATGTTGAATATCTAATTCCCCAGTTGTCTCATGTTCACATTTGAGGATTATGTGGTTAGAACCAGTGCCACTACAGATCTTTGTAGAGAACATAAGTTCTTGGAGGGTAATTTTTCAACAAAGATATTACTTACATTCGCCTGCCATACATCGTGTGGGAGCACATGCCGCAGACTGCAATCTTACAAAAGCATTGGCTCATTTGAGGTCAACAGTCTTTCAGTGCTTAAGTGCAGACGTCATCCTGTAGATGATATCTGAATGATGCGTTATAGGCAGTAAGCATGTAAAAATAGAAAGCGAAATATGATGAAAACTTACAGTTAATAGTTTGGTGCACTAGATCAGGTCAACCCTGCGCTAAAGACAATACATATATCCTGAGTTCGACAACGCTTTCGTCCGTAACACTCTTATAATCGAAGGATACCAACCTAGTCAAATCAGAAGTCAGGTAAGAATGAGTTCGAAGATATATTTTAAAGGCTTTTGATTTGTTCAGTAGCATTTGATATAAGCTGACTAGTAGTTACAATAGATACGTAGCACGGTATACATACTCGTGATGTGGTGTGAATGCGTGACCGGGTGCCCTCAGTCAGTATGTGTCCAGTAAAATTAATGAGGTCAGCATCAACGTTGTGGACTTTGAGAAGTATCTATTATGTGGATTTATTTGCCTCTACATTGGAGATGTAACTAGGTATAAACAATTTTCATTTCATCAACAACCACTTGCATGAAACAGCTGTCCATATCTATATACCTTCTGAGAAACCAGGTCACACTAACAACTCCTTATAAATTTAATCCAAATAAAAAGAGTTGTCTAACGCTGAAGTATTATAGTGATTCACTGATGCTAACAGAACACCTAAATATTCAACCATTCTGAAGACGTTCAACCAACCTTAAACACACTACCCGCAGTGAATTTAACTGCTCAAGGTCGTCGGGGCGACGCAGCGAATCTCAACCACAAGTTGACGTTTACTGCCCACACCTTTGGTTTTCAAATGCTTGAAATGCTACAGGTACGACCTACGTCGTCCTTATAAAAGACCCATTTTAGCGCTTCAGACTTTTAAAAGCTCTTCCCAGATTAGTGCATACTTATGTACATCCAATTCAAACGATTGCAAATAAACAACAATTGATAAGCTCACATGACATAATGAATTTCCAACCCAAGCCTGCTGATACTAAGTTTATCCTCCCTGACTCTGTCAAACTAGTCAATCACGGCATAAGTGAATTTAAAACACCTATGGTGAACACTATCGTATTGAGCCAATCCATTACATTGCCATCTCTACCAAATGCTATTCCCATCAAATTAAAAAATGATATCAAAATTCGCAGGCGAAAAATGAAGAGACATCAGAAGAAAAGGCTACATAAACGTCATGCTGTGTTGATACGAAAGGAACAAATGATGCGTGAAAAGAAAGAGGAAAGCAAATTACAACAGTTGCTTGAATTTTGGAAGATCCGTTCAGAATCATGGGATCCGGTCGATAAGGTGAAAAATCGATTGGATTTAGCGAGAAGGTCCGGTTATTACGTAGATATACTTAATACTAAAGGCAGTCCATTTTCTAAAGAATAAATGTTTAGTACTAAATCTTACTTTCTTGATTCCCCATATGTTTACGTGAATAAATTGTAAAAATCTACGTTTTAGGAACCAGAAGGTCGGCTACATACCAAAGATTTATCGAATCCTATACATGCGTCGAGATGCGGTCAAGAAGCGTTGCAGGATATGTTAAGCGGGTTGAGAGACTTAATGTTGCTGTTCTACGCGTGCATGGATCCTAAAACCCGAGGAGTCAGTACTCACCAAGCATCTATCGCTGGACCACAATGCGTCGAAACGTTGCAGCACATGAAAAGCAACAAAGAACTTCTTCAACAGGTATTACTGTCAAATAATTTTAGATGTTAGCTTATAAGGGTCCCACTTACGTTTTCTGTACTGTTACTAGTGACGGTGAAAGTTTTGTCAGGTGGACCGTTGTATATGATGGCTAGTGTTGTAGCTTTGAAGCACTAACAAACCAAGTAGTTTAGAAGAATTAAGTGGATCACCACCAGTTGTTGTCTTAGGCTAAATAATTGCAAAGATATGCCACTGGTTACAATGTTCGACTCATAGAGTGGGTTAACCTCGTATAGCTGTCATACACATGACTTGTTGTCTCATCATACTTGTGGTAAAAATGCCTGCTCCAGAATATATTCGAATACTCTTTTTCAGCTGTTTAAGGAATAATTATAAGTATTTGGATTTAAGATAAGCGGCCCTCATTCCAAGTTACAGTGTACAGTAGTGCATGCTATCCGCCAAATGTTATGTGGAACACCAACCCCTCAAATACTAATATATACGCAGCTCCGACAAAATGATGCATTAAAATCACAATTCCGTTCAGATTGTCTGTAATAACGGTATAACCAACCTTTACTTCTAGCTAATTTAACATCTTATGAAAGTTGTCGGATACTTGGAGAGTTTTAAAGTCGTTTTGATTCAACTTTTTAGTGTAGATACTAAATTTCAGTAGAGGCACGTTTTTGTCCATTACGGACTTATTGGACTTCATTTCATCGAAAATTTGTTTCACTTTCATTCTATATTCTATGCCAATATGCACCGAGTTGTAGAAACTAACCAGTTCGTAGACCCTAACTGTACAAGCAATGTAAACATCAACCCTCGTATTGAACATACTCCCACTGCATACAATCCACTATACGCTTTATACGAATGTTCATCAATATTAGAACGGATAGTTCAACAAAAATTGGGCGCCGGGTATAGAGAAGTCATATGTGGAAAAAATATATTTAAAATAATCTCAGCGATTGAAATTTAAATGAGCTTTGTTCCTTTAGATTAGCAGTTCACAAATCAGTGTGGAGATTTGATCGCTCATGTTCTTTATTCAAAAGTCAGTACGAAACCACTCCATACGTTGAGCTTTGCATTGCTTATTTCGTAAAATGTAACTTGTGTACATGGATCAACGTGATCCATCCCCCATTCTATTTTAGGCCTTTCATGTAGTAAAAGAAAGCTGTGACCGCTTACTTCCTGCTGACGTTTCTGATCTTGTCCCCTATGTGGATACCCCGATAATGAACAGAGAACCAAGTCTTGAATTAAAGCAACTAATTATAGCTCGTGAAAAAGTAATCAAAAGGTTGCTAACAGTAACAGAAGAACTCGAAAAACTACGTCGCATTTTAACAAAGACAGTGTGGGAACTCAATGACCTTACTGACCCAAATGTTCAGAAATTTTGACTACTATTTTGTCTAGCATTTGTGTTTTGCTTATCTGAGACAGACAAATAAATGCAAGTTGTTCATTCTTTACTTTTCGTACATCTTTCCTCTTATTAAAGAGTACACTTTACTCATAGTTATACAAGTTTCTAGGTCGAAGTGCAAGGAATTTCTGAGTTACCAATGCACGAAATCCGAATACTTTATGAACAACCCTGATGTTACTCTTTCTAAACCCAGTGAATTAGATGCTAAATTCTTACTACAGTTCTCTGCGTCTACTAACTTTATCCATTTGGGGGATATTCACTACCTTTAAGACCAACCATTCTCAGTAAAATCAAAAACTGAAATTAAGAAAGTGTATGGATTCATCAGTACTATTTATCAGTAATAAACAGGTTTCTGACACTGCATTGACCAAAAAGTAATTCGAACTTTACAACATGAAAAAGAGCCATTATTCGAAAACTAATCTAAAGCGTATTTCCAAGCGTTGGAACTGAAAGTTGTTAGACATCTTTCGCTGCATAAATAGGCCAAAATGTTTGGGGGGCTCTGGCGATCACAAGAAATGTTCATCCAACTTTTATACGACACAAGAATGCGGTAAGGATTCACACCACATCTTAAACGGCAACATAAACAAGTTCTAAATACTGCCAAGCGAATACGCAAACTCCAAGGTAAGATACTTTCAAGACAGGGGTACCTGTAGAACAACCAAAAAAAGTTTTAAGAACATGGAATCACTACCTAAGCGTTACTGAATCATACTAGGTAACTGTCATTTGAAGTGTACACTATGTTATGAGTCCCGCACACGCAATTAGGTGTAAACACAGTCTTAAAGCTTCAAAATTAATAAGGCTTTTCTAAGTAATAAATTTGTATATATGAGGGTTTCAGTATAGATGTACTTTTATTTGATAAAGGTAGTGGGATCTAAAAAAAGCACGATAGTCTGGACATATATAATCGAAAGTGGTGCACGAAGAACGGCTATCATCACTGTGGTAGTCTACGATTTTCAATGTTTATCATTGCTAAACTGCCATATATAAAGTGGGGATGAAATTTTCTTAAAATATGTGCATACAGTAATTTTCTTACCAACTAAACGCACACAAAAACAATCTTGATAGGAACAGGATGGCTTATGTGCAAAATAAGTAACCCACAAACTGGTCATACTAGTGAAGTTGGGTTTCTGAGTTGAATGATTTAACTGCAAAGCTTTTATTGTCCTGAAGTAAATCATCAGCCCATACCTAAGAATGAAGATGTTTGCTAGGATTTCTCCACAAGTGATTAGTATTTTCTGTCAATACTGAATCGTTTTGCCATCATGTGTTATGTTTTGCACTTCTTCCAACTACCATCGCCTTTGACCAAATTTCTAACTTTGTAGTTGTTTATATTTGTAAACGTAGATTTTAATATCCAAAGACATGAACTACTTTTCATCAGTTACTGAGTATCTAGCAAGTGTCAGATTGTAGGGGAACGATTAGTACTAATGGCTACTACCAGCAAATAATTATGAAATACCTTAACATACTCTGATAATTTTCCATCTTACGAAACTGGAATAAGAAAAATAAGTACAGAAACACATACCAATTACTACGAAGGAAACTTGTTGACGCACAGCTGAGTAACGTTAGGGCAACATCACTCGGTTTAACAACCAAATCGGAAGGTAAAAACGGATTATTGTAAACTACTAGTTGGTTTAGTTGACGAGAAGGTAATATAGATGGCAAAGAGTCCAATTTGTTATCATTCAAAATAAGCACAGAGAGCCGGTCTAACTTGTGCAAGAAAGCAACTGGGACACCTCTCAGTCTGTTATCTGTCGTAAAAGTACAGGAAAAGCACACTATAGTATTACGATTTTGAAAATTTGCTGACAAAGAAGTAAATAGAAAGATCTCCACTGGAGAAATATTTGGTTCTTATTAATGTCTCTACTTCCACTTCTAACTGCTTTCATTGAACATTCCCCTAAAACAGAGGTCTCTTGGTGTAGATAAGCACTGAATCCTTGGTTTTCCAGTTAACGCAAGGTGCATTCGCAAAGACTATATCATAATATTTGTGGGGACAAGGTCTGATGAAAAATCTCATTTACTCTAGTGTTCTTCTAAATTCGATCTACATCCCAATTATAGGACAGTCATGGGTATTAGAAAGTTTTTATTCGAGCCATAGAACATAAGGCAGAATAATAAAGACCCTTGATAGAAAATCGTCTTCGCCTACTGTTATGAACACAATAATTTAATTATTTCAGTGGTGTGGTATGGCAACTCGAACTGATTTACGTACGTATGAAGTTCTACGCTGCTGATGACTGAATAACATTTTCGAGCCTATAAGTGATGGTTGTAAGGTTTACTAGTCATTGTATTTAGTTGTACTTTGTAAGGAACGATAGAAGGGTACAAAAAACATCCCAGTCTTCTCTTAACAATGTTTGAGCTAAATAATAGTCATTTCCAAAGAGTTTGTATCATAAGCCTTAACTTTGCAACCATATCATTCAAATATATTTCGATCATACAATGAGAAGACGAAGGTTATCAGAATTATGTGCAATTATAGTTGTTTCCTAAAATTACGTTGATACTTAGTCTTCTATTTATTAGATGTGCAGCCATTTAAATCTTAGTTCTACTCGGTTCAAACAGTTAGATTAAGTTTCGAATCCTCGTTATCATATGCTAATTACTTTGTTTACCCTTACTATAAACCTTATTGACATCCAACAATCTAAGGATTGAAATATATGTTTAAAAGTTAAATGAACCTGAAAGATCGTTTTATCAATAACTGAATATTCTGAGTTCTGCACAGTCAACGATCCAGCCCACAAAAAATGCCTGTTATGAAACGTTAGTTTATGTATCATTTCAAAAAACAATGCATTTTACGATCGGGTCTATGTGACTGTGTATTAAAAGTAGTAAAATGTTCTCTGGTTAAGTTTTGTTAACCATATTCGGGAAACAATTACTACAGAATGAAAATCTCTACTAGGTTTAAACAGACTATTAACATTAGTTTTGTGTGTGAATACATCTGCCATATTGAAGGCCCAAGAACATGTTTTAACTAACACAATAGATACATCAGACGCTCAGGCACAAACTAGCGAACAATTTCTATCAACTTATGTTGACTAGACTGCTTTTACGATCGTTTTATAATATTTACGTCAGCTTTACTTTTACGGTTGGTGTTTCGAGTTCAAAAATATAAGCTTGAAAACGAACGGATTGAGGTTGATGCCCGATGGAACAATCATGTATATAATCTTATAATCATAGAAAGCATTATTTTTCAAAGGGGTAGTGGTTGTGGAATTCTATAGATACATATACATTTTAACCTTAAAAAAAACCTCGATGAGAAATTACACGGATTTGTAATAAGCAACTGAAAACGCCTACCTTGAAGGACCTATTATTATGATAAGAGTATAAAAATCCAGATAATGTCTAGCTGGAACATATTGCAACTTTGAAGCACCATTAGGTAGGAATCACGCATACAAATAATTTAAGATGAAATAAAATGACTTCCAATATGATAAATTAAATGAAGCTCACTTGAAAGGTTGACGTTTCTAAGGTTCGTAAGGACCCAAAAATCATCTGGCAACCAAGTTAAATTGTTACTGCTCAAATCGATAAGTTCCAGGGTTTTAGTTAGTGGTGAACTTTCGGAAATTGACGGCCATTGGGTGATGCGGTTTTTACATAAACACAAATGAGCTACATTGAGATATTGTACTTCCTGAGGAATTGTTTCCAGTAAATTAGCACTCAGGTCAAGGAAGCGCAAACTGTATAGTTTGAGAAGTCTTGTATCAAACTGACGCAATCTCAATCCTGCTGCAGCTACTTCATGCAGAGATATACTGAAGCCTTGAGAAAAAGGATAGTCCTCTCGTCTTGTTATAACCAGCCGGCGATGACCTACTTTCCTAACCTAAATGTCTTACTGACTTGTAAAATGATATACTTCATTTGTAGCAGGCCTGTTGCTAAGAATTCCAACAGGTATTTTGTCACCCGATTTTATAAGGTTTAAAATGTTTACTAGCTTCATCAAATTCGAGGGTTCAGCCTATGATAAAAAAAGTGGAATAAGCTTCAGTAAGACCGGGGTTTAAGAATGGGTTAGTCCAGAAGTCTATAAACAGGCTTCTGCAAATAAACTGGTGAACTAATAGAAGATGTATAAAAACTATTTTCATATGAATTACCCAGAACAAACAAGAAAACTAAGATATAGCAACTTTATCTAATTAAACACCTGTATAATCTATCCTAACAGATAAATTACTTTTATCTTTTCATTGTATTATTTAGATTCGTGATATTGTACGTGTCTTTATGATAGTACAAAAGTATTTATGTACTCGTATTTTTCATGCCTATAAATGTTATATATTAAATAAATTCAGTAGGGCAGTTTACCTTCTGCAACTCGCATCTCTCGTCTGCTCGTATTAGTGGATGTCTGAAATACAAGCGTCTGGAATTCTTCTCGTATCCAACTTTTAGGTCGACAAGACATGTACGAAATCAATTAGGATATATATTTTGTAAGCGCTAATATCGTTCGATAATACAGGAGTCAGACAAATAAGTACTAAAATGTAACAGTAAGTGGTACAATCCCAAGGCTCTAACAATCGGTAGTGGGAAACTAGTTCGTTTTTTATTAGATTTCTTTGTGTCTAATACATTAAAAGCAGTGAAACAACAAACCTGTGGATTTATTACCCAGACAAACTCAAACATTGGACTACAACATATTAGTCAGTCAGTCTGCTACAACGTAGGACCAGGCACATATATGCATCGGTTCAAGTTGCCATACCTCAGTAGCACAGCAAGATGAACACTGGATTCATAGAAGTAGTTAATTCAGTGGTGATAATATATAAAAGAAAGATTGCAATAAGGATATAATACATGAAGAAGGAATTAGTTCGTAGAAAGAAA